GCACGGATCCACAACATGCATGCCCCATCAATCCCCTTGCCTCGGGAGAGGTTTCCAGCCAGACCAGGGGTCTCGAATGTTTAGAAACACCTTGGAGGTACTTGCTCTCAGTCCAGAGGCCTCACAGGTCTCTAACTCAAGGACTCTGATTCAGAATGTCTAGAGAGGGGCCCAGGCAACTGTTGTAATCTAGCAGCCAGGAGTGGCTCATACAGGTGGTCCAGACTTTGGAAAGCTCCGAATGATATCCCAGACAGCCATGTTGCTCGCCCATCAGCTCTAGTCAGGAAGTACAGAAATGTTTTGGCTGGTTATCCGGAATCAAATAGCATGCTCTCCCCACAAACATCAGAACTTCATAACAGAAGAATGTAGTGTTAAACATAACTAATCTGCTTGTCCTTGAAAACTCGATTCATGAGGCCTGAAACTGTACGCAAAACTGCCTGTGGATTTGCCTAAAAGAAGGTTTCTCTTGAAAGCAGCATCAGGTTCTTGAGCACCCATCAGTCGTGTGTCTGGAACTGAAATAATTGCTAGGACATGTGGAAATCAGTCAGGTTTCAGACCCCGCTGTCACTAAAAGGCGGTCTGATTGGGTAGGTTAGACTCCTGTCCAGGTAGCTAGAATGTAACCATAAATATGATCATTGCAACAGAAAGGAAGTGCTGTGGGAGGGAGCAAAAGGAGGAAATGGTTCATGGGCCTTGGATGTTGCAAAGTGTCTCAGAGAAAACCGTATCTGAGTTAGATCCCCATGGATAAGCAGATTTGCCCTCTCCCTCATCCCAGAGGGACAGGAGACGAAAGGCAATCTAGGCTAGAGAGACAGGTGGCATGAAGCAAAGGTTTGGAGCCATGCACATGCATGACAACTGTATGGAGGGCGCAGAGCAGCAAAGAATGTAAGAAAGGTAGTTTAAAGCCCGATGGAAATGGACTTCAGATGCTATGCTAAGGAGTTCGGAATTTTTCATTAGGCAGCGAGAAGTCATCAAAGATATTTATACAAGGGTGTGACATGACTTCAGAATATGATTCTGATAACAAAGAGGTGAGTAGACTGCAGGGGGGAGAAAAACCAGGGGCAGGAAAGCCAATTAGGAAGCAGTTGCAATTGTCCATGAAAATGATGCTACCACCACGTTCCTAAAATAACGTACTCATCATCCTGTTTCGTTTTATTCCTCTTATTTCTGGGGCTAGAAAAATCACTTAGCCCTTCTGTGACTCAGAATCCCTCCCTATTAATAGAAGATGACAATACTTACCTTACCTCACATAGGGAGGTATGTGAGATGCTTATAATTGTAGGCAGGAAAGAGGGGACAGTGTTACTCTAAATGCCAGTGGTATAATTCTGCTCCAGGAGAAAAACTGCCTTTTGCCTCTTACTTTTTGTTATAAAAATTCCAGCCTCACAAGGCGCCTGGGTGGCTCAGTTGGTTACGCGTCTGACTCTTGATCTCAGCTCAGGTCGTGACAGAGTCGTGAGTGCAAGCCCTGTCGTGGAGCCTACTTAAAAAAAATTTTCCAGCCCCACAGAAAAGCAGAAAGCTGAGTGAAAGCCTCAGAAACACTCCACGGAGGGAGGAGGCTGCAGAAGTTTCAGGTGCTCACCACCCAGGAAGTAGTATTTCTGATAAAAGGGTCCATCACCTTTAGGGTGAAAATGTCACAGCAACATGTTTGGTTGCAAAAGTGACATTTTGTAAAGAAAGTCTGTCACCTCATTGTTTTTCATTACAAACAAGAGTTTAAGGAGTGTTACTCCTATGGTTCCTCTTGCAGCAGTGGGGGTGGGGAGCATCGATGTTCAGAGATGGAGTTACACATGGTCACTTAAGTGGAGAGTTGGGATAAGGCTTTCAGATTGTGCTCGCCTTCTAGGTCTTGGAGTCTGTCCTCAAAGCTAAGGGCACCTGGTCATGCCTTTTCCATCTGCCACCTGACCCTTTCTCAGAACTAACTCTCCAATTCACTGCCCTGGACCACACCGGAACTCTCTCTTCTCTTTGGAAAAGTAACACGGGCGTCTATCACAGAAAGCACTACAGACTGAAAATGCTTTAAATTTTGCCAAAATCACTTTGTCTTCTACCTTTTAAAAAATCCATGCTCAATATACCTGCGAGTTGATGCAAGGTATTCTGAGGGATAAAAAGATAAATCACATGGAGACACTCCCCTCCACACATGGGATTGTGACATAAGAGAGAATATTACAAAGGTAGCATCTGGCATGCTATGAGGACAGTTCAAAATTCTAGATCCAAAAGGATGGTCATGTTAGATGACTGACGTGAGAGTCCACCCATCCAGAGTCCTTCACTTTATATATGGCAACTAAATGGTTACAGAGTGATAGAGTGAGGAGACATGCCAGGAACACATAAAGAGAAGATAATATATGCTACTTCCTGAGGTACCTTCACCTAAGTAATAAATGATAAATTCTCTCTAATGAAATACTTGCTCTGGTACAGTAAATTATTCTAATTCATTTATTCTCTTTTAACGTGAACTTCTTGGAAAGCTTACTGGTAAAATTCCTCATGAAGAAATTGAGAGATTACAAATTACAGAAGAAGAAGAATTTTTAATCCTTACACAAATTAGATCATATTTTAAGGGCAGTTGAAATACCATAGTATCATAGTCTGCATTTACACCTGCTCGTCCATTAGTTGTTAGATTGCTTTACTACAAAGGCTCCAGGAAACATCTAGAAACATGGCAGTGCTAACAACAAAGAATCAGTTATAAAGGGAAAATAATAAAAGTTTATCCATTTGTTACGAACTTAGCCATTTGATAATTTCTGTTTCAGTCTTCAAAGTTTACATTCAATTCTTTAAAAAAAAATGTGGAAGCCACAGACTGGGAGAAAATATTTACAAAAGACACATCTGGTAAAGGACTGTTACCTAACTCTTGAAACTCAGTGGTAAGAAAATGAACCAACCTGGGCGCCTGGGTGGCTCAGTTGGTTAAGCGACTGCCTTCGGCTCAGGTCATGATCCTGGAGTCCCTGGATTGAGTCCCGCATCGGGCTCCCTGCTCGGCGGGGAGTCTGCTTCTCCCTCTGACCCTCCCCCATCTCATGCTCTCTCTCTCATTCTCTCTCTCTCAAATAAATAAAATCTTAAAAAAAAAAAAAAGAAAAAGAAAATAAACCAACCTGATTAAAAATGGACCAAAGATCTTAATGGACACCTACCAAAGAAGATCTACAGATGGCATATGAAAAGATTCTTCACATCCAGTGTCATCAGGGAAATGTGAGTTGAATCAACAATGAGATACCACTAGCAACCTATTAGAATGGCCCAAATCCAGAACAGTACTGACAACACCAAAAGCTGGTGAGGATGTGGAACAACAGAAACTCTCATATATTGCTAGTGGGAATGCAAAATGGTGCAATCACTCTAGAAGACAGTTTGGCAACTTCTTAACAAAATTAGACATACTCTGGTCGTATGATCCGGCAATCACCCTCCTTAGTATTTACCCAAAAAGTTGAAAACGTGTTCACACAAAAACCTGCACACGGATGTTTATAGGGGCTTTGTTCTAAATTTCCAAAACTTTGGAGGCAACCAAGATGTCCTCGAGTTGGTGAATGGATAAACAAACTGTGGTTCATCCAATGGAATATTATTCAGCACTAAAAAGAAATGAGCTATCAGGCCATGAAAGGACATGGGAGAAACTTAGCATATTGCTAAGTGAAAGAAGCCCATCTGAAAAGGCTACATAGTCTGTGATTCCAACTATAGGACACTCTTGAAAAGGCAAAACTATGGAGATAATAAATCAAGTGACTGCCCAAGGTTAGAGGGAGGGAGGGATGAACTGGAGGGACACAGGGGATTTTTATTGCTGTGAAACTATTGTGTATGATACTGCAATGGTGAATACATGTCATTGTACATTTGTCAAAATCCATACACTGTATACCATCAAGAGTGAACCCTTACATAAACTATGACCTTTGGGTGATAATGATGTGTCAGTATAAGCTCATCAATTATGATAAATGTACCATGCTGGTCCTGGATGTGGATAATGGGGAGGCTGTGTATGTGTGGGGATGGGATATATATATATATTAAAAAAAAAAATCTCTGTGCTTCCTGGTCAGTTTTGCTATAAGCCTAAAGCTGCCCTAAAAAGTAAAGTCTCTTTTAAAAAAACAACAATGGGTATGCTACCGTCAGCAGACTTGGAACTACAGAATGTAGTTTTCCCATGCATTAGATGAGAGCCCTCTTTCAGATGTCTGCACGTGTTACAGAGTTTTTTCTTCTCTTAAAGAATAAAGCATTATTGAGTTATATATGGACAGGTAATAACTTGTGCATGGAATAAAATTCCAAAGGAAAGAAGGGATATATAGTAAAGGTAGGCTCTCCTAGCTACCTAGTTCTCCCTAGAGGCAGCCACTGTTAACTAGTTTTTGTGTAGCTGCCCAGAGAGAGTCTACACATATATAAGCGTATACATTTAGTATTACTGATGTTCTCATTACAAAATTGTGGCAGACTAAACACACAGGGGTGCAGTTTGATTTTTTCACTGAACACATTTTGGAGATGGGTTCATATCAGAAAACATAGAGCTTCCTCATTCGTGTTAATGGCTACATAGTATTCCATTGTGTGGGCACGCATCATTTATTTACCTGATCCTAACTATTGATGGGTACTGAGGTTGTGCAGAATCTTTTTTGCTATTGCAAGTAGTGACTGCAATGAATACAGTCTTCTACACATTTATCCCCTTTACGCGTGAGTATATCTGCAGAATAAATTCTTTTTTTTTTTTTAAGATTTTATTTATTTATTTGTCAGAGAGAGCAAGGGAGGGGCAGAAGGAGAAGCAAGAAAAGCAAACTCCCTGCTGACCAGGGAGCCCAACACGGGGCTCGACCCCAGGACCCCGGAATCATGACCTGAGCTGAAGGCAGACACTTAACCAACGGAGCCACCCAAGCATCCCTCAATCATTGGTTTCGAACAGAAAACATGTAGAGGCACTGGATAATCCCAAAGCACATTTTGATACAAAACTCCCTGATGCCTGACTTTTCCTTCTCAACTCATTCTAAATCTCATGCTGTAATTAAAACTGCTCTCACTCCTTAGAATTGCTCAGGGTTAAGGAGCCCCGGTTTTTGTTTAGTTTTAATCCCAGAAGGGTTGTTTGTCTTAAACTCTGCCTCAACCATTATTATCTATGCAAACCTTCTAAGGAATTTGAACTCATTAAAATAACAGCCTTAATATACTCTCCAGGCATTCACAGTACCCTCCTCCTGCTCAGGCGGAAAGAGTGATACTACCAAATATCTAAAAGCGTTTATCCCCACCCCCAGCCCCCTCCATGAGAGATGATCTGGCCCATTAAACAGAGAAGTGAAAAAGTCCGTTGACTTCTCTTTCTCAGTCTGGGAAAGACTTGTGACACCGAAGTGCCTTGTTTACAATCCCCACGTACCACCTTGCTCTTGGCAGCTGATGCTGTTTAGCTGCTGATTAAAAGACACATATTTTACACAAAACAGAATATCCCGAGTCAAAGGGATTTTGAATATTACTTTGAACTGGCTTTATCACGAGTACATAGGAGGAATTCGCTGTAAGTGAGAAGGGAGGTAAGGACTCCATGAAGGTAGAAGATAGCATCAGAGACAATAAAACGGCAATCAGGAGGTAGGTTTGTAAATAGCAGGGTGGATATAGGAAAGGCCACTGTCTGTTGTCCTGGTTCTCCACACCAAGCTGGGCAGAAGCAGTCAATCTGAGCAAAGAGCTACTATATCCAATCCTATTTTGGTGAGAAAAAAACTCACTTAGAGGAAAGTTAGATGAGATTTAGGAAGCATATTCTCAACCCAGAGACATTTCACTGGAGCAGCTCTAGTTAACCTTAACAGGGATTATAGATCTCCATTCATCATTCTAACTGGGAAGAAAACAGACTGTAGGCAGGAGGCCAGATTGAAGATATAACATGTGATTTTTAAAAAACTCATTGTCTTAGTCAAATTATCTAAAAAATAAAACCTGAGGCAAAGATCTCTTGTTAAGACTGTGTTGGAAGGTGCAATCCCAAGACTTCAAAAAATGAGAGAAAAAGAGATAAAGCCAGGAAGGAAGGAATGCAGATACCAGGTGGTGTGTTAAGGAACTGATAATACTTCACAAAGAAATTTGCGAACTTCCTTGCTTGTCCTACAAGTTACCTTGAAGCAGTTCACCAGGAGGGAGATGGTGCTGAGCTGCCTGGAAGATGTGGGAGGGGATTGGCCATCCATAAGGTCCAAGAGCCTCATCAGCTCAGACCTGGGTCCTGGAGCCCCTGGCTACTGATGCAGCAGGTGAGATGTGGTCTTTCCAAAGCTGCACCCTCAGGAGTCTGTCCATTCAGGAGGAGGCTGAAGCCCAGGGATCAGGTGGGACTGGGGGGATGTTGAAAGGCACAAAAATTAGTCCAGTATGGTCATGTTTTAAAATTACGGAAGATAATTTTAAAGCATTTCAGGATTCAAGAATTAGTGCTTTCGTGAAGGTTAAGATGAACGACTTTCAGATAAATGAGTCATCAAATCGTAATGAGTATAGGGGTAGAAATTCTATTATTAATGGGATTTATGATTGATGAAATATTTTTTATGGCTATTCAGATTGGTTTCTGGACTGAGTTTACTCATTCTTGATCAGATGATTTGTATTATAACGTTAATTTTTAAAGGAGTGTTCATTAATTTTAAAACTGCTAATCTCAGTGCTTTGTTTCCAGATAGTATGTAATTTGTGCTCAGGAATATATTTCGACTTCTAGATGCATATTTTACCAAAACTTCTAATGCACCAAGGAAAAAGGTGACAAACTCTTATCTTTCTGCACATTTGTGTGCTTACAACAAGGTCCTGTAGCATATGTGTCTACGGTAGGGAGGGCAGATGGCAGTGACTGAGGACTCTCTTAAGAGTCTGTCAGTGAAGTGAGTTTCATACATCTAAAAATAAAATAACAATTACTTATCTTAGCATATACATCCAGATGACACTTGGGAATTTATGTAGAAGTGACAGGAGGGCCTCCATGAAGCCTTCTGAAAAACAGTGTATCAAACTGTGTGTTCTCTTGAATACTTGGGATTCTAGAAACTTATTTCAGTTATCCAAGTGAAACAACCACAGTTGGTGACATCTCCATACATACAGCAGGAAGCTAACTTGTTAAGGGGAGTAACACATGGACACTATCTTTATGTCCTTTTCACGCCCCCACCACCAAAAGCCCCACCAAGAACAGTTTCGTGTTCTCCTGGTTAATGCCTATTTTATCTGAATGTAAATCTCCCTCTAGCTTCCCTATAGGCGTTTGCCAATCCCTTATGAGGTCAGGAGCTTGCGCTGTGACACATAGGAAGAATATTTATGTACTTACTTCATATCCTGCAGGACAAAAAAGACAGCATGAGAAATCCGTTGCCACTAATTGTATGTAGCTTATTACTTTATCTTTAGAAGGTTTAATGTCAAAACTTGGAGGAGAGGATGAATGGTCCAATCTGGGCCAGAGCCTGAGTTTTCTACTCTCCCCGGAGTTCCGATGTCTGAGAAGAAGCCGTGTGGATGTGGGTTTGCATGTCAGCACCTGAAAGCGGGCGCAGCCCCCACTCTGGAATGAATGTACTCTTCCAAAGGCTTCATTTCCAGAGGGTGGTGGAAGGAACAACAGAGACAGCGATGTGCCCACACACACAGCCATCTGCCGTTCCAACCACATGTCTCTGCCCCCTGTTTCCTGCAAGTGATTCATCTATTCTTTTTCTCCTTCTTCAAAGATAACTGTGTAGGCATTTAAGGAGGAGAAAGTCATTAAGAAAAATGGAATCCGGAGTTCTTAGGCTGAGGTAGAGCCGATTAAACAGTCTGGAATTTCACAAAGCAAGCAGTGCGGGCGTGGACTCTGGATCTGCTCTCTCCCACTGGTGCATCATTTCGTAAGAGCTTATCACCACCCATCATGAACAGGTCAACAGAAGTGCCTGCATGTAAACTAGGAGCCCGGGAGCTGCCAGCGAGCACAAAAGAAGGGCAGAAGTCAGGAGAGAGATGTGGGGTTTTTCTAACTAGAGACGCTGCTCATCTTACCCACTGTCATCCATGGCTTCAGTCTCGAATTTTTGCTAATTTTCCACCGATGAATTGGATCTTTGTGACTTTCTTAAAGTTTTTATTTTAATTCCAGTTAGTTAACATACAGTGTAATATTAGTTTCAGGAGTACAGTATGGTTATTGAACACTTCCACACAGCACCCAGTGCTCACCACAGCAAGTGCACTCTTTGAAACAATATGGACGTTTCATGAGTTTGTGTGCCATCCTTGTCCAGGGGCCACGCTAATCTTCCCTGTACAGGTCCAATTTTAGTGTACGTGCTGCTGCAGCAAGCACTGTGACTTTTTTTTATTTTTTAGCACTGTGACTTTTTAAATAGGTCGATTAAAAAACTGCCTCCGTGACATGCTTTAAAGGATACCCTGACCAATAGCCAGAGACGGTGATTATGGCCACGTCCTCGACATTAACGGGTACTGGTGGCCACATGCTGTGTGGGAAGGGGATGGCGCATCCAAACAGAGGTGATCCATAGATATTTGCTGAGTTGCATCAGATTGGAGGTTCAAATCCTGGCTCTGCTTCTAGCTTCTAGGACATTAGGCAAATTGCTAAACCTCTGGGAATCTCAGGTGGCTCCCATGTATGCTGAGGGATGAAGAAACCTGCTTCACAGGGTAGGGTAAGGACTGAAGAGGGTAAGGTATGTAAAGTCCTGTGTAGTCCTCACAACAAGGTAGATACGTAAATTTCAGACGCAGCGGAAAACTCCTTGTCATTTCACTTCAATTTCCACCACATCCTACACCTTACAGCTAGCAAGGGAAAGAACTCAAAAGAGGAGTAGGGAACTCTGGCCAATTCCAGTGAGGCTTTACCCATCAGGAAAGGCGCTTTCCAATGTGGCACTTGCCAGTAGGACTGCATGGGACATCATTTCCTTGTTAATGGAAGACACGGGGAAGAAGGAGGGAAGCAGAGAGACAAGCAGAGCCTGATCACACCTTCCTCCCAACTGTCAAGAGCCACCACATCCCCTGTGGCAAGTGGAAGGCCCAAGGAATGAGGAATTCTATTGCTGAGTAGAATATACAGATCCCAGATGAGATCCAGTTCTTTTTTTTTTTTTTAAAGATTTTATTTATTTATTTGAGACAGAGAGAATGAGAGACAGCACATGAGAGGGGGGAGGCTCAGAGGGAGAAGCAGACTCCCCGCCGAGCAGGGAGCCCGATGCGGGACT